TTATATATATATATATACATATAAAAGAAATTATGCAGGAATTGGGAGATGGGTTTGTCGACCAAAGGAGAAACACACGTGCATGAACTTATTGAGGGAATCGACTCTCGTGAAGAATATCGACTCTCGTGAAGAATCACTTTTCATATAAAAGAAATAATGGTCCGATAGTGTGTTTAATTATGTGCTGAAGAATAAAGTATGTTCATTATTTCAATCCATGTACTTGGCGAATTTGATTTGAGATCTAGAGCACCAACTTGATAATATTTAATCGAATGACATTTAATATTCCATAGAGCCAACACTAGAAAATGATTTATTGTTTATTTAATTTCTTGGTGGTAAATGATTATTCAATTAATGGAAAAAATTAGAGATAATTACTAAATCGATAGTAATCGACCTCTTGATGGTCTTTGTTAAGCATAACCCATTAATTATTTCGATGTGATTTAACTCGTATGATTGATTTTGATGTTCATGTAAGTGTGTAGTTATATGATATAAAATTAAAAAAGGTAAAGAGTAATGATCTTTTTACATAATGTAAAGAAGATGAGATCCGTGTATTATCATAACTTTGCATCAATCATTAGATCTCATTATTGATGATGATATAAAATAAAGAAAACAAAGTAGGGACGACCTCTTGATATAATTGAAAAGGAATTTGCATTCATCTGACTTGTAATTAATCTCCCACCAAATAAATAGGGACATATATAAAATAACAAATGGGCAAGAAAAGTGTTTGAGCACATTTAGAAGGTGAGACATATATAAGCATAATAAATTCTTCTTTGGATCTATAGGATGAATAGTATAAAAGAAACTCTATTTAATCGAGCATAATAATAATATCCATGGAAAGATTTCGATCTTTACTTGTAGAAGGTTGAAACTTCATATCACCCCTTTATGATCATGAAGAAATAACAATGAAATTATCTTCATCTAAATAATATGATATGATTCAATGTGATAAAATCGAATATATGAATAGTAATATATATATATATATATATATATATATATATATATAAGTAAACAATTAATCAAAATGATTAAAATTAATAAGATATATTCATGTGTCTTCTTGTTTGTGAGCATTTATAAGCATAATAAATCCTCCTTTAGCTCTATAGGCTGAATAGTATAAAATAGGCAATCGGGTATAATAATAATATTCATGGTAAGATTTAGGTGTAGAAGGTTGAATTTTTATATCAATCATTTATAATCATGAACAAATAACAATGAATTCACATTCACTTGAATAATATAATTTGATTTAATGTGATAAGACATAATATACGAGTAGTGAAGAAACAAAGTATAAGTAGATAATTAATCAAAATAATTAAAATTAATAAGATGTATTCACGTGTTAAAGAATCAAGCTTAATGTCATTTAGAGAGTCGAAGAAATAACCCAAATCATTTAGAGAGTTCAAAAACTTAATTAAAATATCATTTAGAGGATTGAAGAAATAACCCAAATCATGTACATTGACTCTTTCATAATAATTTTTATTTATAATACTCAAGAAAAAAAAATTTAATTAGTATCGTTGGGTATTAGTCAAACATGAACACATCGTCATTACGATTAATACAATCATGCATTGTATTTATTTGATAGATTTATTTTGTTACGAGGTAAGATCTCTTTGGGTACACCTAAGTTGAAGGATGAGCTTCTAATGGTCAAAAAGGTCAACCAAGTCAGTGGGTTTTGTCAGAAAGAAAATAAAAGAAATAGAGTAAAATTATCTGCGAAACCAAACAAATAAACAAATCGGAGATCATAAAAAATAATAATAATAAAAAATAAAAAGACTGTATGATTCCCACGTGACTCTGAAGAAACATGTGACTCTGCTCGATCCTCATTTCCTTATCCTTTGCCAACCCTTACCTTATCCCATCAATCTCAATAACCAAAATGAATGAGACGCGACACGAACTCATGGCTCTGATAAGCTTTCATTTAATTTAATTTAATTTAATTTAAACCTTATCATATTAATTGTCGACGACCAAAATCCATTATAAAAAAATAAAAAAAGCGCTCGTATTATTATTAATCGAAAAGCGATTTTTACGTCCCGCCCGATATCGTCAACTTGTAGTCTTTCCTCGGGGGAGGTGGGACCCACTCTAAGCCCCTCTGATACAGCAACGCGGGTAAGCGTGCGGGTGGCGGTCGAAAGCGTAACGGTACCATCAGCTGTCATACCTCTCGTGGGCCCCAGACTGGGGTCCAGTGACATCTGTCTAACCGGGGACGGGTATCGCACGTGGGTTGATCTTCCTCTTACCCTCCTCTTCTTCTTTTAAGTTAACCGACCTCCACCCACGAAGACACCTCGATGACCACATAGCCTCTCTCTCTCTCCGCTCTCCTCCTCCAGACAAAGGCGCCACCGCCACAGCGCCGGTTTCATTCCCTTCCTCTCGCCCGGCCACGAGGTGTCGCGGGCCCGAATCGCCGTCGCAATCGGTAACCCACTCGTCGCTCGTTTCCTTTTCTCGTCCTGTTGCTGGGTTTCGATATGGAGAGTGACACAGCTTCTTGATCGCGGACTTCTTCCATGGTTCTTGGAATCTTGGGTCATGGGTGTGCGGAGATTTTTTGGCCTCGCCACCCGAATTTCTCATGTCATGTACTTCTTGATTCGCTGCTAAGAGTTGGGCTCTTGACGGACTAATCAAGAAAGAGAGGGAGGAGAATCCTCATTGGTTATGCTTCCTCGAGATTGAATCTGTGGTACCTACGTGGTACAAGAATTTGATGTGAGTTGGGTGTGTTTTGGGCCTCAATCTGCTTTTGAGATGAAAACAGTTGCGACTTCAAGAACTCATGTTAAATCACATCAGTTAAAAGATAGTGGTGTGGTTTAGTTATTCACAAAGGTTTGGGTAACAACAGTTTGGATCAGTCAAGGGATGTTAAGGTAGTGTGCTTTGGGTCTTTGTTCGATGATCTGCCTTTGGCCAAGTTTTTATTTATGATCCTGTGTATCTAATACCAATTTCACCTATTTGGAAATAAATATTAATAGTTTTAAATTCGTAAAGAATAACTCATAGTGGTATTTTATTATTGTTTTTAAGAACTGGTTAAGCCATATATTAGAACTTGTATGATTTCAAAGTTGTTGTGCATTTAATATTGAATCCCTAGTACTTTGGTAAATAGTCTTTTACTTCCAAGGACCAAGTCCCCAACATCAATTGTATCTCTTCTTTCTTACAATCTATCTAATGGACTGAAGGGTATAATACATTGACAAACATAAATGATCTAGCTATTTAGGCATCATTCCTTGAGTTCTCTGGTAAAAAGGTCGGACACTTCCAAGGACCGAGTCCCCAACATTAATCGTATCTCATTTATCTTACAGCCTACCTAAAAGGATTGAAGGGTGTAACATGATCTGGCTATTTAGGCATCATTCCTTGAGTTCTTATATGTTTTGCATAAATGGTTCTTTATTATATTAAGTTTTCAATCTATGAAACTCTTTTACAATTATTATTGATCCTTACCTTTGGGAGATTCTTCCGTGACTTTTGTATGTTCAAATTACTGAAGAGATTGTTTGGTGTAAACTCAAGGTTTGTGCACCAATTGATTCGTATTAAAGCATATTGCACTTTGCTTGTTGCAACTTGTTTCTATTTTTTTTTTTCTTCTAGAGCTGTTGCACAGGAACTGGAATATATTGCACATACAACATTATCTGAAATGCATGTCTATTATTATTTTTGACACATAAATATAAAAGTCTGCTTTGCTGAAAATGTTTGAAACTGGTCTCTGGAAATAAAAAGAAAAACTACTTGGGTTTTGAAACTGTCTTGTACATTCTAATTAGAATGCATAATGTCTACCAACTGTGCGGAGTAAGCCTTGGATGCAGCCTCTTAACTTTTTTTTCTAAATTTTTGTGGTACAAGGTTATGACACTTAATTAGGATATTGCTTGGACCCTTTGAAAATTTTCCTGCACCTTGTTTTTGTCTCTTCGTATGAATTTAACTGGAGAACATTCTAGGAAGCTTTTACTAGGGATTCCTTAATAGCATCTTAATTTTTGTTTTCTGGCTAAACTTTTGCAGCTGAAGGTTTTCTTTTGCCGAGGGAGTGAATCCTTCTATAAGTTATGCATGTCACTCCCTGGGGCACATGTTGATGATCTGGATGCACTTTCTTGTTGCAGAGGACCTATATCATCGTATGACACTAGTACCATCAATGACAAAAGGCTCTTAGTTAATCTGGTCAATAGACAGGATACTCTTGCTTGTAGTCCACATGTTAGCTTCAAAGTTGCCGAGGTTATACTTCCCAATGGGGACAAATATTATGGAACGCTACTGGGTAATGTACCAGAGGGATCCGGGAAGTACATTTGGAGCGATGGTTGTATTTACGAGGGTGAGTGGAGGAGAGGGATGAGGCATGGGCGTGGGAATATCACATGGCCTTTAGGAGCTGTTTATGATGGAGAATTTTCTGGTGGATACTTGCATGGAAATGGAACCTATACTGGGCCAGACAACTTGAGTTACAAGGGGCGGTGGAAACTGAATCTCAGACATGGACTGGGATATCAAACACATCCTAGTGGAGACATCTTCGAAGGATCTTGGATCCAGGGAGTGATAGAAGGCCATGGTAAGTATACTTGGCCTAATGGAAACATGTATGTTGGCGATATGAAAGGAGGAAAAATGTCAGGTACGGGTATTCTTACCTGGAAAAATGGTGATACATATGAAGGTAACTGGCTGGACGGAATGATGCATGGTTTTGGAGTGTATACTTGGATTGATGGTGGTTGCTATGTTGGAACATGGACCAGAGGTTTGAAGGATGGAAAAGGGTTCTTTTATCCAAAAGGAAGCAAAATTCCAACTGGACAAGAACTGTACCTTAATGCTCTAAGAAAGCGAGGATTGTTACCTGATTTCAAGAGACAACACCATGGTGCACGTATCCTTCATGCTTCATCTGTTGATATGGGAAAGATGAAGGTTATTGAAACTCAAGAATCAGATAGTAGCTTGACTATAAGTATACCTAAAGGGCGATCAATAAATTTCGACCGGTCTCGGGCCAAACATGTATTGGAACGACGGTGGAGCCTTGAGGTTGCCATAGAAAAAGTTATTGGACATGTTACCACACTAGAATCTGTTGCGGAAAATGATGAAAAAGTGATCGATATGAACATTCCAATCCTTGAGAGGGAGTACATGCAAGGAGTTTTAATTAGTGAGATAGTAATCAACAACAGCTTTTTAATGTCACCTAGAAAAGGAAAAAGGCGTCAGAAGAGACTGATGAAGGAGATAAAAAAGCCAGGAGAGACAATAATAAAAGGTCATAGGAGTTATGATCTAATGCTCAGCCTGCAGCTTGGAATTAGGTAAAGCTAAGATTTGCTATTCAGATTTATGGATATTTTTTTCTTTTAATTTAAAATTATTTTGTTGCTGGGCTAACTTCTCATTTTGTTCCTCTTTTAAGGTCGTAATGGATTTTAGTGTCCTCTAGCAAGTACATGTTGCACTTGCTTTCTGCTTGCCTATTGTTGGCATGTTTCATTTGCTATCCTCTTGAAGTTTCTTCAATTGTTGAAGCTTTTTGATGATGTTGGGAAAAGTTCAAAAAAGCGCATCTAGTTAAAAAGTTGGGCCAGTCAGATACGACATATGCTTGATTTAGACAAAAATGTTTTTTGAACAATGCTTGACACTGGAACAGGATTCCTTTTAGAAAAGGTTTGCTACTGCATAATCAGTATGAGTACTTGAACGGCATTTACTACAATAACCTACTTAATTTTGAATGTAGGGCATATTTCAATTAATATTTCTGGTTGAGATAAAATGGGTGACTTGATTCAATTTTTTACAAACAGAAATTGTACATTTCTATTTAGATTAGGATGCCTCGACAAAGCACCAGGTACATGCGTGTTCCCTGATGACTGGACAGACAGTGTCATCACTTTGTCTGACAACAGTGATCTCGTTGAGGTTCTTTTCCTAACTAGCATTCTTTTCATTCCAGCATGTTAACTTATGTGGAGGAAGAAACTAATAACATCTTCTGTGGTTCCTATATATTATAGACAAAATTTTGGGACCTTTGATCAACAGCATTGATCTAGACATCTAGTTGGACTTCGTTAGCATACACATAATACCAAGTAAAAAAACTATGTGATCCATGCCAATTGGGAGATACGATATATTTATAACATACCTTGCAAACATTTAGCTGTAGCTATCGTCAAGCTTAGTGGAGAACCAATGCACTGTGTTAATACGTGTTTTGGAACTTGGAATAGTACATATCAATTAAAACATACATCGTTTTCAATTAAGGCTTCATCTGTTACACAATAATTAAGTAGCATCAATCACCATGCGCAGTAAGATAGGTCTCAACACGAAAATTACATCTGATGATAAGTTAGTGGGCTAAATGACATCTGATGATATTCTTGTAATATGTGGAATCCAAACTTTGAAATCATAATTGTTCTATAATCACCGAGATAAATGCCATTGGAGTGACACTGCACTCCTGAGATACATCTTGCATTCATGTTTATGTAGAGTTGATGAAGTTTCAAATGTAGTAGAATTTTCTATAGCACTTGCATTTTTTTAGTTAAAAATGGTGACTGCGATCAAAATTTTGTACTTACTTTTTCTATAATTTGATAGAGTGATCACATCTCTGATAACTGACGTATGCTTGGCTAATTTTAATCATATGTCATAATTTGAGTTCCAAAAGGATTATTCTTCATGCATTTGTTCATGACCATTGTATTGTAACTTTGTGTTCTGAGGCATTTGTTTTGTTGAACTAAATTTCAGAAGGATTTGGCTCTCAATACAGATATTTTTATTACCCAGGTATACCGTAGGAAAAATTACACCAATACAAAGGCGTGAAGTTCGTGCCTCGGACTTTGGGCCTAGAGCAAGCTTTCGGATGAACTTTCCAAGAGAAGGTTCACAGCTCACGCCTCCTCATTGTGCAGAAGATTTTAAATGGAAAGACTATTGTCCGATGGTGTTCAGGTGTGCAATAGTAACAAATTTTCCTGTGTTAGAATTATGGAAGATCTTCTAGTTTCAGTTAAATGTTCAAGGCTTTTAGAAGCTATTTGGTTATACTTTCTTAAAATTTTATTTTACATCTAAAGGCTGGATTGGTCTGTTTGAGGAAACTTAATTTGATAGGTTTATACTATTATAGGTTATTGCATCATTATCTATTTATCTCTATTATATTCCCTCTATTCTTATTTCAGAACCTATCATATATATATATATATATATATATATATATATATATGCTGATCAATCATGCTAGCTTCAAGTGTACATTTTGAGACTCCATATCTCCAACTATTTTATGATATAATTTATATCCATCGTCTCCAACTCTTCTTTTAAATGCCAAGATAGAAAAGCTTGCATATAATGCCATTGAAGTTTTTTGGAGAGAGAAAAGACAATGAAGAATAAAAAATCATTGAGAATAATAGGGGTTGTTTGGATACTTGTAATTTTTAATTTTTAATTGAAATTATCCACTGCTAACCACAGCTAGTAGTAGTTAACCAGAGTATTAAATGGATGCTAACAGGTGTGACACACATGGAGGGTCTAAATTTTTGGAGGAATATATACATACTGTATGGGGAAAATATGCTATTTCCAATCTTTTGAAAGGATAAATATGTAAAGAAACCTCTATATAAGAATAGATCCAACAAATGTTATGCCCATGCCATCTCGAGCCCTAAGTTTTTAACACTTGTCAAAGTGTTTGTATTGCACCATATCATTGACCATGCTTTAATAAATAGTTCTCCTAGACAACTTGAAAGTTGACAATGCACCAGATTGTTTTCTGGTGGAAGACAGATCTGACATACATACATACATACATACATACATACATACATATGCATTGTATTATAATGCTTTTAATTAGGTAATTGAATATCCTGTCGCACTGTAATCTGGATCAATAGTTTTTAATTTATAGTGACTTCAACTTCTTTTTGAACTTCTATATTGAAGTTGGCTGGTTATGATGATTAATTATTTGTATGTCTTCACAATGTTTTGAATGAATTAAAAATGCTGAATATCTTTTCAGTGTTCTTTCCTTAAAACTATACCTGATAAAAAATATATTAATATATTCATTTATATTCAGTTCTGTTCTTCGTACATGATCATTACATCTTTTGATTGCAGAAATTTACGTGAGATGTTCAAGATTGATACTGCAGACTATATGATGTCAATTTGTGGATGTGCTGCACTTAGGGAGCTCTCTTCCCCAGGGAAGAGTGGCAGCATCTTTTTTCTTTCTCAGGATGACCGGTTCATGATTAAGACCCTCCGTAAATCTGAAGTTAAGGTGTTTCTCCGTTCTAATTCCATATAGATTGATGATTCAGGGATGACAAAAGATGAATGAGGAAACATATTTTGAACAAAAATTAATTTGTAATAAGACAGAAAATGTTAACTTAATTCCACATTTAGTCTTTTTTTCTTTTTGTTAAATGCCGCAATAATAAATTGAAAACCCAGCTGGGCATGTTTTAGAATATGATTCCTGACTAGGTAAAGCATATAATATTCAACCATTTTCTGCGAGCTGTTAAAGGATTAAGATCATTGAAAACTAAATTGGTAAAAAAATTTGCTCTTTTTTGTTCAAAATTGTTGTAAATTATCATTAAACTGTGATACTTCACTTGGAAGATGGCCAACACTTATGGTGAATCAAGTGCTTGAACTCCTTTGCAACTAATTTTAGCATCCCAAATATGGGAAATCAAATATTTTTTTTGAAATTCTATGGTTGTTGACGAGTTCATCTAAGTTCTTATGACATAGTTTTTATTCACCGCGCCTAATATTCTCTTGATAGGAAATTTTATTTTCTTGATTCTATGGATAACAAACTTCTTTTGCTCCCGATTCTATTACTACAGGAAAATTGTATTTGTTTGGTTTAGCTACTATCTGTTGCCAATTTTCTAACATATGCCTGAGGACATCAATGAGATTTTCTTTCTTTGTTAATTTAGACAAAATCATGTACAGTATAGTTTGACAAATTTGTATTTTGCATAGGTCTTGTTGCGAATGCTTCCCGACTACTACCATCACGTGCGTACTTATGAGAACACACTTATCACAAAATTTTTTGGTCTTCATAGGGTTAAGCCTTCTGGTGGGCAAAAGGTACTGAGCGTCATGATCCTTACCACATAATTATTGTTTTAACACATAACTGTTTCTTGTAATTCATTCTCTTTGTCTTTTTATTTTTTTAATAAGCATTGAAGTTGAATTCTTAGTATGGTGCAAAGTGAATTTCATTTTTGTCCTTTCTATTTGCAGTTCCGGTTCGTTGTAATGGGAAACATGTTTTGCACAGAATTGAGAATTCATCGGAGATTCGACTTAAAAGGATCATCGTTAGGGCGGTCAACAGACAATGTTGAAATAGATGAGAACACAACCCTTAAAGACTTGGATCTGGATTACTCCTTTTACTTGGAACCTTCTTGGAGAGATGCTTTACTCAAGTATGTTCATTATGCTGCTTCGAAGATCTTTATCATTTTGCTTTTCCACAAATTATAATAAGTGAGTTAGTTTTGCAAGGGAAAAAAAAGGACATAGACCTAGTTCAAATTTGATAGCTTATTGATTGCTTGTTAGCTTGAGATGTTTTTGCTGTGTTATAGTATTTACTCTCCTCTAATGCTTTCATAACTATCCTATATGGGTAATATGCATTGTTTTCTTTTCGTCAAAGAAATTACAGTTGGTAGTCAATTGAAGTGCTTGGTAACTTGAAAAGCTTTATTTCGTATTACTTGTAGCATACAACTATGAAGTAAACATGAGGGCACAAAATCAGGAGGAATAACTACAGCAAGCAAGCGGTGGTCATGGATGGATAGGTAGTATGTATGGATTGTTTGGCTGGCTACAATATTCTTTCAAATTTGGAAGAATTAGTCATTATGGAAGTTAGGGCAGCTATAAAAAAACTCATGATGGGAACAAAAACATAGGTGAGTCCAGGGGTTAGGGCAGCTATAGATTAGACCCGAGGTTATTCTTTCAAATTTGGAAGAATTAGTCATTAATATTTTACTACTTTAGTAAGGGGTTAGATTCTTACACTTTCAAAAGTTATATCGAAGTATGCACGACTCCAATAAATTAATATATCAAATGATGAGATTTACAATTTTGTCACATATCTATCTATTCCGGTGTGTGTAATGTTTCTGAAAGAAATTTACTTTTTCTGGGTTATGTAAAATGTTTTCTGAAGTAACTTTATTAACGTTTGCTGCAGACAAATTGAAACGGACAGTAGGTTTTTGGAGACCCAGCACATAATGGATTACAGCCTGTTACTAGGTGTGCATTATAGAGCCCCACGACACCTGCAATCCTACGTATCTTATCATCGAAGTATGACATCAGACAGATTGACTGTTCAATCCGAAGAAGGTGAGTGAGGTGATAACAGTTCTTTTTTTTTAATGGTACATCATAATTAATAATAATAATAATAATAATAATACTTGGTTTTAGGAACCTATATATATATATATATATATATATATATATATATATATATATATATATATATATATATATATATATATATATATATATATATATATATATATATATA